AGCTGAACTTTTACTGTGAGTAAGGACAGAGACCCTGTATTCAAACACAATGGGAAGCATCTTTGCCACAGGACTGTGGTACTGGACACTAAGAAGCACACTCTCCCTTTCTTCTGTCTAGGCCTCCAACATGCACACGTGAGCAGGGGTATACACAGGCACACACACAATTCTGTCATGTCCTAAGTCTTTTTCGTGTGTCTGACGAGCACAAAAGCATTCTTTGAGGGTGACATGACTCTAGAAGGCAGGGATAGATTCTTGATTGGGACTAGACACTTATGGATTCTGTTCAGCCCACAGCTAGAGTCCACCTTCCACCATCAAGGTTGTTTCCTGATTAAATGGGCCACATCCAAAATCTGATGAGCTTCAGGGGTAGTTCTCGGTCTTAACTAACAAACCAGGGCTGACTTCTGGCAAAGAATCTACTGGCAAGATGAGAAAAATGTAAGGGAAATGAAAATCATTCCAGATAAAGGATTATGGTATTTGGGGGGACTACATCCTTCAAAATACTTGCATAAAAAAAATTTCCTCTTTGCAAAATGGGTACAGTTTCCTTAACCCACACTCTCTACCCCTTGCTTGTCCCTCTAATTAGAAGCATCAAGATAGAACATTTTATGAACAAACAGCAAAGCACAAAAACAAATAAGAAAAAAAAAAAAAAAACTGGGCCTGAAATTTAGAAGTCCAGAACCACCTGCCATCGTAATAGTGTGCTAGTTAAAGCAACTCTAACACAACTTGGCAGCACAAACCCAGATGTTCCTGGAAAGAAATCCCACGTGAGAGTTTGTTTCCATCAGATTGGCCCATGGGCATGTCTGTGAGGCGTTTTCTGGATTGCCAATTGAGGTAGGAGGGCCCAGCCCACTGTGGGCGGTACCATTCCCAGAGAAGTGGGCCTGAGCTATAGAAGAAGACAGCTGAGCAAGCTATGGGGAAGGGTTCCATGTCAAGTTTCTGCCTTGATGCCCTGCCTTGGCTTCCCGCAGGATGGACTGTGACTGACATGTAAACCACACAAACATTCCTCACCAGGTTGCTTTCGGTTACGGTGGTTATCGAAGCAACAGAAAACCAAACCAGGCCAAAAAGCAAAGTGTTTTCTTCGTAGGGTTGGTTGCTTCAGAGCAGTAGCTATTCTGTTTTGTTAATAGGTGGGGCGGTGTTCACAGTTCTCAGCTTCTCGTGAAACAACCGAATTCCAAAATCAAGAAACCCACCTCCTCTCGTTCCGAGGAAGGAACTGAATTCAGAATTCAAGGAGACAGCTCCCCCACCCCACCCCCTTCCCTTTTGTCCTTCACAAATACGCCACTCTGCTGAATAATAAAGCTATCTCAGTTGCTGGATGTTTTGAAACTTGCAAAGTAGCCATGAGTTCTACAGAGATCCAGTCTTTCCCTATGGGAGTAGGAAATTAAGCCCAAGAAATGCTAGTTTCTCTTGAATCCAGCAGACGGAGGGAGGTTTCCTGTGTGCTGGAAAATGATCGGGTTTTCAGTGTTCACACCCACACAGATCCAGTCTTCAGTGTGCGAGCTAATGACGGCGTCACCTGCCAGTGACTCATGCACCTGTTCCTCCTGAAGGTGAGGAAGGCCGCAGTTGCTAAGCAGCGCGGGTCCTCTCTGAACAGTGCGGCGCGAGGTCACTCCATGCAGAGCGGTGCGTCCCAGGGAAGGACGCCTGCTCTTCAGATAACCAGTGCAGACTCATTCCTATTTAGAGCTGTTGCTGCTCAAAATGAATAAAACAACAACAAAAAAGAGGGGTTGCCAGAGAACAATTAAATAAAGTAACATGAGTTACTAGAATGCATCCAGAGGGCGAGGAGGGCTTTGCAGCCAGTCCTGAAGATACCTGATAAAACAGGATCAGATGAATGGGGAGGAGGTCCCCCCTATTAGTGGACTTGGCAAGGGGCACGGTGGAGATGAAGGAGGGAGGGAGGGACTGGGAGGGAATGAGGGATCGGGACATGGCTGGGATACAGAGTTAATAAAATGTAACTGATAAGAAAAAAATAAAATTCAAAACAAAAAACAAAACAAAACAAAAAAATGCCGTGGCATTGTTTGGTAAGCGCCATCTTTTGTTGGGATATCTGGACGGAATGGAGAGTAAGTAGTTTCTAGCTGAACTCCTATGAATCATGGCAAGTATCAGATAACCACTATAAAACTTATGCAAACCAGAAAAATACAAGAGACTGTATTTACATACTGGGAAAGACAATAGATAATGGCTTCTTTTTAAAGCCAAGTTCATCTTTACATCCAAATAAACTACCTCAAACTCATTGTATTGCTACTGAAAAAGTTTGGTGGACAAAATACTTAAAAGTATATTTTCTCAAGAAATAATTATTCCTCTCCTCAACCCTTAGGTAATATCAGAGAATATACTGGGAAGAAGGTTACAAACCAAAATGTACTTCTTGTATTTTTTTTTTACTGACAGAATTATTCTCTAATGCATGCTCAGAAACATTTTTAGAAATTAGAATATTAAATTTAATTCTTCTTTTTACATGTAAGCCAGATAAGTACTATTTTTCAAATGTGGGTCTCTTTCAAAGTTTCTTTTCCTGTTTGCGTTAGAAAGGTGTATATTTAGGTCAGCGAACATTACCTTGTAGTCTCATCTCATCTAATTGCCGATGTTAATGTCTTGCTGTGTAACTTTTCATTTTTCTCTTGCATCTTTACGGAGGTATCTGGTGCTATTTCTATCCAGATACAAATCTGGAAAGTTACAATTAGGTATTTACTAATAAATTCACTTGTAATAGTCTTTTTAAAAGCAAAGGCAGAAGAGGGTCGGTCAAAGTGAAGCTACGTTAGACTCCTGCTTACAAGACGGAACTTCATAAAGGTATGAGACTTCACAAAGAATTCATGATTTCAGCCATTTCCAGTCAGCCATGCCAAGCTATCACGGTCTCTGAAACTGACCTAGAGAAGTGCAAAGAGCTGCCAGTACACTGTTGCCAACATGTGGGGGAGAAACACGCACCTTCCCACCCACCACAGTACGGTGAGGAGCGGCTGGAGGGTCACTGCTGTACCAAATGGCTGAGGTACGGAAGCAGGCAGGGGAGGGGCGGACCAAGGAGCTGTATGCATGCACAGGATGTGATGCTTTTCACTCTTCTAGAAGAACAGGGATAGGCCACCTGCAGGATGAATGCAACTGGAGACGATTGCATCAGACAAAGCAAAGCACACTCAGAGTCTGATCCCATATGTTTTTTTCTCCCTTGTGGTTCATAGGCTTTATCTAGATATATGAAATCATGTAGGCTTATATGGCACAAGAGTAGAGGCAAAGCTGTCCAGAGGGAATGAAGGGAAGTAACAGGAGTCAGGTGTCATTAAAAGAAGAAAAGGGAGTGGAGGGAGTCTCGGGGAAGATGTTCAGTATGCGGCGTATGACCGTGTGAACTCTCCTTCGGCAGCAAATTCCACAGACATAGCACATTCAACGAAAGCAAAGAGAAATAAGTAAACGAGAGACGATGGCACTGGAGGTTTAAACTGCATCTAACACCAATGATTCGGTTTCTGAAGATGGCCTCAGAAGTCACATGAAAAGGTAGAAGCTGTGTAACTAACGTCAGGGAATCTGATCAACGATTCACAAACAACTGTTGAGTCCTCACAACTCTGCTCCTCACTAAAATGAGTTCCAGACAGATTCTAACGCTGAACAGAAATAACTTGACAGAGTCCCATAGCCCTTCCTTGTCTACTTCCCTTTATGCTCATTTATTCTCTGACTCCTTTCTAGACTGCTAGGTGAGAAAAGCAGAGTCTTGATGTGCGGAGATGGCTCAGTGGGTGAAGGCAGACCTGGGATTGTATCCCTAGAACCCATATAAAAAGCCAGCTATTGTGGCACAGTTCTTTAACCCCAGCACTTGGGGGTGGGGGAGAACAGAAAGGAGGGTTCAGGGGACTGTCTGGCCAACCTAGAAGAAATGATAAACTTCAGGGTCAGTGAGAGATCCTGTCTCAAAAAATAAGGTGGAAATAAAGGAAGACAGCCAACCTTTGACCTCTATATGCATAAGTAAGCGTACCCCTCACCCCCAGATCAGAGCCCAATAACTGGCTTATCTTTAGCACCTGAACTAAAGGGCAAATGCAGAGAAGGCAGTCCACAAATATTTGCAGAATGAATGGCTAAAATAAGCAAAGGGCAAATGGCAAACTTCTTTTAAATGAATCATGCAATTTCATGTATGGTACATTTACAGGAGATTACCTATGTGAAACTCAATACTATGTACCAATAAGCAGGTAAAGATGCTTTCTGCCAAGCCTACATTTGATCCCTGAGACCTGCGAGGTGAAGGAGAGCACTGACTCCAGCCAGTTGTTCTCTGACCTCCACAGAACAAAACAACAAGAACACGTAAACATCACCACCCCCCCATAAACGAAAAATTGAAAACAAATGTAACAAGAACAGAAGTGCACAGGAATAGTCCTTACCAAGATTTATGAATAAACACTATTTCTACTTCTTTACCCACAAACACCACTTGGTCTTGGAAGTGAAAGGGGCGGGGTAAGGTTTTCTGCTTACACTTCTCCTAGATCTGTGTATTTGATCTTACCGTGCTTTTCTCTTCAGCATAGCCTTCTGCCCCACCCCAAACACAGCCTGTGTTACCCTTCCTCCCGGTACGAAACAGCTGCGTATGGGCTGGGAGAGCATACGTCCCATTGAACCATTTGAACCATTTGTATCTTCTCTGGGGATGGCCTTAACTTCTACATTTCTGCACTAAGTCCCGCACGGCTTGAAACATCGGATGCCAGCACGTTGCCGGCCTCTAAGAGGGCTTCATGCATGACAAAATAGACACTATGCTTCCTAGACAGCAAAAAAGGAGATCAACAAGGGTGCCACGGACACGCTGTCCTTGGCTGAGGATCATAAACATCTTGGAAGAGGAGATGAGGATACAATGTGTGACCTACCGAGTGTTGGATCGTATTCCCAGATGAATCGTTTGGTCAGAAATCTCACTACAATCGCTGTGGGAGAAAAAGAAGAACATGTCAGATGTGAGCTCTTGCCCTTCCACAGCAGGAGAAGAGGGTCATACAACACGATACACATTCAGCATTCCTGTGACTATAAGCCCGGTTCATCTATGATCATTTCAATGCACTTCTGATTCATACCGTGGCCTCAAATCAAATCTGGGTACCGTTTTAATATGCTTATATTTATTCTTCCAGTTACTGGGTTAAAGCCAGCCAGCACACTGTGAAATCATACACACACAAATTTCAACAAAGCCTTTAATGCAGAGGCGGAGTGCCGCAGTACAGGTCTCCAGAGTTTGAGCATGAACTGAGATTTGAGATTGACAAAAGTGAGGTAAAATAAGGGAGAGATCACCATTACTGGGATGAAAAGGTACAGGCTCACAATGGTATAGAAATGCAGCTACCCCAAAACTGAGAGCTAGGAATTCGTGAAAGCTCATCAGAAAGTGACCAGGGGGGCTGGTGAGGCGGTGGCTGTCTTAGAGTGCCCGCTGCTCTGGTATGAGGACCTGAGTTCAGGTCCGAGCACCTACGTCAGGAGAACCGGGTCATGCATGTCTGTGTCCCCAGACGTGCTGGAAGGAGAGGGGGCCTGAGACAGGGAGATCACTGGGGTTTGCTGGCCGCCTCGTTCCAGGTTTGTTCAGTAAGAGAACCTGTCTCAAAGAAATGCCTATAACTTCTCCGTGATACTGCACGTACTTTAAGTCATCTGGACGGTCTTTGGCTGGAAACTGGGGTTGGCGAAAGAGAAGTGGTGGTCAGCCATGATGGCCCACACCTGTAATCCCAGCATGGGGGGGGATGTGAGGCAGGAGGATAGTGTTTGAGGATGAATTGGGCTACACAGCAACTTCTAGGCTATCCCGAGCTAAATAGTCCCTGTCTTAAAAGAAAAGGAAACAATGCAAAATATGCTTAAGCAATTGGACACTGTAGTCTTCAAAATCTATGGGACCCAATGTCAAAGAGTTGTACTCCTTTTCGGTTCCTGAGAGTGGTTGTCGAACTTGGGAAAGTTTTTTAAGGAGGTTGTCACAGATACTAAAAACAGACAAGGAATATTGGATTCTTTCCCTGAAGGAAAAAAAAAAAGATTTGGCAGATAATCGCAGCTCAGGGGGTGGGGGGGTGGGGGAACGACTTCTGAAGATCCTTGATGGGTCCTCTGAGACTCCACTGAACTTAACTCAAAAATCCTGTCTGATTAGTTTAAAATATCAGTCACATCTTCACTTTTACAGAAATGCCTTGAGTGAGTTGATCGCAGATGGTCCTTGGAGGGACAAAGCTAAGCAGCTGGAGGCGTTGGCCATGGTGTCTGCCATTACTTTCAGGGTCAGCAGAGACGCACGCCTCTCTCCTAGACTCTCCTGTTGAGACATGACAGAGCCCATTGCAACGTGGACCTTGTCAAACGGGCCACAGCCCTATGCGGCTCTGCTGATGGGGACCAAAGACAGAAAATAGCAATATTCTTTCTTAATTTCAGAGTGTGAGACTTAATTTGAGCCAATGTATGTCCAGACCTAAATAGTCCCTGATGCTGACATCCTTCCCACAGGGAGTGTGCTTGTGGTTTCAGCTGTGCCCTCAGCCTGTCACTGTGAATTCTCTCGAGAATATGGCCTTTATTTTTAAGTTGTGTTTTACATGTATGAAATAGTAAGTACAGACAGATACTTTTCTCTTTTTAAAATAACTAGTATTCGCCATGCACAGTGGTGCACGCCTTTAACCTCACCACTTGGCAGACAGAGGGAGGTGTATCTCTGTGAGTCCTGGGTCAGCCAGGCCACGTAGTCAGCCCCTGTCTCAAAAACAAAACAATGTTCGCAGACAGTGCTGGCCAGAGTATCTTTTTAGTTAAAATGTATTTTAACTTTAAACGCCAATCGATAAAAAGTGTTTGTTATCTGTAAGGAATGACTTATTCAAATGAGCTACTTAAAAAATATAACCAGTGTTTCTCAATTCCAAAACCATTTAAAATGTAATCATTTTTTTCAAAATATTTCTAAACTATATTAGACACTCCACTGACTTTCAGAAATCAAATAGACTGAACATAATTGCATCATTTGAAGATGTCTGGGTCTGGCTATAAGGAAGATGTGCAAAAGACGGCCAGAATGAGGGTGCTCTTGAATGTTTGAAGGTTTTGAATATGTATACACAACTTTTACAAAGCTGTAATTTTGTCCTTCAGCTATGGCCACTGGGACCATTTCTAATGGCACATCTGCTACTCCATGTTGCCACGTTTATTGTAGTAAAGACTTGTCACCGTATTAACAAACTTGTGACTGTTTTATATAATACAGGGGGAATCTGGGTGAGTTAACTCCAAGGAAGCTCCTTTTATTCATAAAAACATAACTGGGCCTGGCAGGATGGCTCAGTGGATGAGCCAGCTTGTGGCCCAGGCCTCATGCCCTGAGTCTGATCCTTGGATCCCAGGGTAAAGGAAAGACACAGCTTTGGAACGCTGTCCTCTGACTTCCACTAGCACACCATGGCATATGCGTGTCCGAGCACACACACACACACATACATACCACACAACAATAATAAAGTACAGCTTCCATCTGCCTTCAAGACATCATGTTTGTTGTCGGTAAAGTGTTTCTGCTGACTCCTGGGATACTGGCTGAACTCTCGCTGCCAACTCTACAGAGTAACCTCCTTTCAGTAGGCAGCACATCTGTGTTTCACCCGTGTAACCAATTTAAACACTGTCAATAGTCTTTTCCCACAGCTGTACAGGAGTCATTATTTCTAAATATATAAGCATGCATTAAAAAAAAACTATTCCAAATACATACAAAGCACATAGCAACAGGGGCATTAGCTATGCATTCTTTAGAGATGTGATTTTTCAAGGTCTTTCTTTTTCTTATAGATTATTCGTGAAAAAGACAAATTGATATATTTTTAGATTTATATTGCTGTAGTATTTTAATTTAATTAACATAAAGAATAAAAACAATAATTTTACACTTGTGTTTACTGGTAAATATTTTTATTATTCTTTAAACTATATCCAAGATGCTTCAGTGATAGATACCACGTTTCAAGGGTTACCAGTATTATTTAGCCCCAAGATTTTTTTTTTACAAATTTCTTTATGGAATATGATTTTTTTATATGATATAGCCTATTCCACCTTGGCCCTCACCCCTGCAGATTTCATCTCCTGCTTTCCCAATACTGCTATTGCCTCCTTTTCTAGAGGTTGCTCTGTTCACCTGGACAACCTCCTGTGCTGAGATGCAATTCAGCCCATCACATGTAACGTCTTTGTCCTAGATTTCAACAACTTGGAGGTAATCCTTATGCAGGGTCTACTCCGTGCTGATATCTGCTCTGTTCGGAAATGTCCAGGTCACAATTCAAACCACCACTCCTGACCTCATGACCTTATCTTCTAGGAAGAAACTGGTTAAAAATTCAAATGACAGCTGCTGAGTTCACCATGCCAGAGGATGAGTGCGCTGGGATAAAACGTCCAGAGTAAGTTAGGGAGGAGCTGGCATTGATGGATGGGGGAGTGAGGAATGCTACTTAAGGGAGTAGCAAGGGTTATCTCTTTTTTTCCCATTAATTAATTAATTTACTTTACATCCCGATCAGAACTTCCTGTCCCTCCTCTTCTCCTAGTCCCTCCCTTTAATCTCCCCACCCCCCATCCTCTATGCTCCCCTCCCTTTTTTCTCAGAGGACAGGAGACCTCCCTTGGGTATCAGCTGGCATTTGCATATCAAGTAGCACTGGGTACACTTCTTCTCTTGAGGTTAGACAAAGCTGTGCAGCTAGGGGAAAGGGATCCAAAGGCAGGCAACAGAGTCAGAGACAGCCCTGCTCCTGGTCTTAGAGGGTCCCACATGAGGACCAAGCTGTGCATCTGTTACATATGTGTGAGGGACCTAAGTCTGTCCCATGGATGCTCTCTGGTTGGTGGTTCAGTCTCTGTGAGCTGGGTAATCCTCATTTAAAAATATTTTTCTTTTAATTTTACGTGTTTGTGTGTGCATATTTCCATGTATGTGTACCACAAACATGCAGGTACCCTGAAGAGGACATCGGATTCTTGTAATTGGAGTTACAGGCAGTAGTAGGCCACCTCATGTGGGTGCTGAAAATCAAACCTGACTCTTCTGCAAGAGCAGCAAGTGCTCTTGGCCATTGAGCCATCTCTCCAGCCCTTGTTAATCCTTTTTGTTAAGCCCTGACTGACGTGTTATAAGAGAAAATATTTGAGGGGCTAATACAGGAAAGAAGAGCAGCTGCAAAGGCCCTAGGACAGGAAAGTGGGTGCCATGATCCAGGATGGTGAGCTAGGCCAGTGTGGCTGGTGCAAAAGGAACAATAGGGAACACACTTGAAAATGAGGCAATTCCCATCATATCTACCATTGTCCCATCACGCACTGCTGCTCATGACAGACCCACGGCTGCTGTTAACTACCTCGACCACACACTAATACTAAGAGGAAAGGAATAACTGGGATTTTATAGAGCTCATTATTATTACTGATATTGTTGTTATGTTGCTCGGTCATTTCCTTAGAAATACATATCTCATGAGAGCGTGGGACATGAGACATCAGTTTTAGGATGTCTAGCCTACTTCCTGGTGGATGAAAAGATAGTTACTGGATAGATGGAAAACAAGGATCAGTAATGGTATTAATGATGACTCATTCTTAACAGAGAAAAAAAACAACCAAGCATTGAAAGATGGTGCAGAAAAACCAGCCTGACAGAACTCCCAATAGTACCACACCATCTTCGTATAAATCTTCCCTTCAGAAGTGACGTGGACATATGATGTTAGGGGCTCCAGAGCCATGAGGGAATCATAGAAGGTCTTTTTCCTGGTCACAACAAAACTTGTTATTCTATAGTTTACTAAAATGTTTACAGATTGGGGCTAGAGAGGCTGCTCTGTGGGTGAAAGTATTCGCTGTGCAAGACTGGTGA